GGGGCGGGCGGGGGATTAACATTTCTGCGAAATTTGGAACGTACCCCGCTGCTTATGTCGGTGCTTGCAAGATGGTTGCCAGAGTGTTTCACATTGGTCTTATTGGGAAACCCCATTTTCAACTAGTTTCAACAACTAAGTTAAGTTAGTGACAATCTTGAGCAATAAATAAGGACTCGATACACTGGCATGACCCTTACACGGGCATGACTTTCCGGCATCTGATTCGTCGACCGATCGGTACATCCTCGATGGGACCGTTAAGCTGGATCCCTTAACAGCTCTTCCTGAACGATCTAGGTCAATCCAGCCCTCTCTGGAACAGCGCTCATGTAACGGGCTGAGCCCGTGTGGGTCTCGGCAGTCGCTCTCGACCAGGGTCCACACGAGCTCCTGAGCGGAGCTCAGGAGCTGGCGCCCCTTTCCTGGGGTTTTCTCTTTCTTCCTTTCTTCTCCAGCTTTAGGATACTCGTTGCAGTCGCTCAGCTAGTTGTCAACACACTCAGTTGAGACCGTTACAACATCCTTGGCCAGAGCCGATCGGGGAGTGCAACGAGAATTGTTCCGTCTCGTGGCAGCTAGGGATTCCTTGCTGCCACACAATCTACAACAAATTAGAAGCGGGTACGGCCTTGACAAAATGGGACGTCCACCCTCGGTGACACCTTCGAGAGCCAACTTCGCACGATCCCTACCGCCGAATTCTCGATCCCAAGATCGCAGCGTCTCTCCGCGGACGACCGAAGAATGCGGCACAACCTGTCCCTGAGAGTATGAACGTCCAGCCATCGACCAGTACTCGAGCAGCAGTGGGGAAAACTGGAGCAGGCAGGAAGCCCGCGCGCAAGTCAGCTGCACCTGGGTCGGGTAAGCAAACCGGTTACCGGTGTGAGACAATCCGGCTGCAGGAGGCGACCTAGCCTACGGAGGCAGCGGTCAGAATGGGAGACTATATCGGATGAGGAGGAGCAGGAGGCTCGGCTGAAGCGCAGACGGAGAAGCTCCCGTAAACAGCCTGCCGCTCCAGCGAATCCGGCTCCGTCGGGTTTAGGTGATGAAGAGAACCGCAAGGATTGCATCCATGTGCAGCCATAGTATACACGGGAGAAGAATGAGCCTTTGTGACAAAGTATCGGCGTTCTGTTCAGAAGCGAACTTGAACCAATCCAATTCGATTTAGCCTCCGTCGTGCTTCTTCAGATCGCCTCCCACGTAGGAAAGAAATATGGAGGGCGGCTCACAGTGCCGGAGAAGGATGGACTCAAAATTGGTGTGGCTGGAGACCAGACACTTGCCCGATTTGGACGGTCAGCCACACGGCGTTCGTAAGACGGCGTCCGTAGTAAAGTGGTTCGGCGTGCATATCAATTGCCTTATATATAGCAGTGTAAGGGGCTGGACTGGAGTTTGTTCAACAAGCAGGTGCCTTCGTGTTGTCTATCTAAAGCCAAGGAGGAAAGGAGAAGTGGACAGCTCGCAGCTCGGGGCTGCAAGCTTGTACTCAGGAGTAGGCCCACTTGCGC